ACATGCAGGTCCATGGCAAGGCAGTTCCAAAATCTGGTTTATTTATATGAACAATATGGTAAGTGCGATCCATGAAACTGGTGACAATCTATTCAATCTGGAAGATTCATATTAATATTGAAGTTATGCTATCATCCCATAAACTGGTGATGTGTTCATAGAGTGGGAACCCAAAAAGCAGGATGAACCGACACATCTCTTCTGATTGAAGCTCATCTGATTTCTCCAGCATTAGTTTTTGTAAAGCTGCCATAAGCAGCTTAAAAAAGAATGTTCCAATGCAGTAGTTCTAAGCATCTGATGGTGTTACATCCAGGTCAAAGTCAGCAAAAGCTTCTAAAATGCTTTCATTTAATTGCTTGAAAATATTACAACATGAAAGCTTGATTTTATCAACAAAACCACAGGTGGTACCACAGCCTCTAAAAGCATTAAAAACAGTTACTGCATTTATTCTTTCTCACCCTTAAAGCCTCATAAATAGGTTGAACAGGACTTCTCTGTTGATCACTGCCAAGAGTGCAGAGGTTTGTTGATAAGTTGAAGTGCTAGCACTTTATCAGAATACATGTATCCAAGCAAGATGGCAACTCAGGAAATTTCATTTTACTATCTACTTATGTGCTCCTTAAATGGATTAGTTGATATTAAGTATGTGCCATTACTGTAGTGAAATTACTATTGGTCGTTGAATTTGTGAATAATTTTATGGCCTAAGTACAGTAACCATTCTACCCTTGCTTAGAAATTGGACATTTTCAGTAAAACATTCCTGATCCCACCACTATTTAAGGCAACATACAATTGGCTGATTTCCTTAATAAGTGTTTGATATGAGCAATATTTTTCAATGACTTTGGAAAGTTGTATCTATTGAACATGATTTATATTTTATCATAAATTAAGGAAAGAAATTGCAGATGAAACAGATATTTATTGTGATAGAATCTCCAGCTAAAGTGGGGTGAGATGTGAAGAAGGGGACTGAGCTTAGAGTCCTTGCACAACAGAAAGCGGGGCAGGGCCTTACTTCCCCTAAAGTCCCTGAAGCCCTATCTGATCATTCCCAAGAGAATGCAGTTATTGTGGCAAGATTCTTTTAAATAGGCATTGCAACAATAAAGAAATAACTTTGGTTCCTTCTCCCCAAGATTTACCAAGGCTTTGCAATAAAGTTGTTCCTTCAAACATTGCAATCCAAATGTTCCTATATTAGCTACTCAACTTTTCTTTGCTAGTTTACTTTGGGAATGACATCTTCAAAATGTGCAGGGAACTAGAACCATGCTGATTATTCATAAGTGCTAATGGCATTTTAAATTTACATCTGGTTAAGATTTGGCAGCCAATAGCATTACCATTAAAGGTCTACAGTCCTTTTTTATTTCCAAATGCCTTAGAATGCAATTTCAGAGTTACATTCTTAGAATTTGTCTTCCACATGTTAACTTTCCTTTCCATTGATCTTTATAGGAAACCACAATTCACCACAATGATTTAAAACAATAGGGTGAAAATATATTTAGAAAGTGCATTGGGAAGACATGGAAACTGAAGGTATTTTACAATATATCAGATGTTATCCTTCATATCTAGATTAATTTTAGCATTTGTCCATATACAACAGCCTTTTCTAACCTGAAGCACACCATATGACCTTGCTGGATGGAAATGATGGATATCTGTTCATCATATTTATAATTCATTAAACTAGGGAATGTTGATAAAGAATCAAAAGAGAAACTGTCGTGTCCTCAGTTGTCCCTCTGTACTTCTTTCCTTCCAAATCTAGATAAACGTTATCAAATATATCCTGTGGTTGTGGTTAATTTGCTGTGTAAATGGGTTGTTATACAATGGAAGATATTGCCAATATGATGGACCAAGTCCTACAGCTGCAAAAACTGCAGGGGAAAATGCAGATGCCAAACATTAGAGGAATTGCATTTTAGGAAATCATGCTTCAATATTTGGCTACCAATTTATCATGGAATAGCATTAGATTTTAACAATTTAATAATTATCCTCTTTGAACATCCATCCCCTGAAACAAAGTTATACATGCCTTTAGAGAAAATTCCAAATGTGCTTATAACTTTATTTTTGCTTGCAAGAATCAATATATTGACTGCTTTGCTGGCAACTGGATTTATGCCCTTTGCTTAAAATCAGCTCTGGTGTTTTAAAATCATATTTTCTAACAGCCTAAGGGTAAACAGAGGAATTCTACATTAATTAATGTTCGTATACCAGGGACAAAAAAATCCTGCTTACAAGAGGAATTCGGGTTGGGAGTAAACTGGACTGTTTTTTAAGTGGCACCAAGCACTTCAAATCCAATAGCAGAGATTTAATTGTCCTATAAAGATAATTGTTACTATCTTTCAATAAAAGAAAAATATCACACATACCCAATACACAAACAAACGACTGCTGCTAAGAAACAAAGAAATGAGGGAAAGACAAATCATTTAACAAGAAAAAAACTTGAGTGGAAACAACAAACCCCAAAACAAAAAAACAGTCCTTGGTACAGAATAAATGGAGCTGAAATAATTCTACTGGCTAATTTTGGAACAGAAGGCTCAAGGCAACATATATGAAATGCATATTTGTTTGTTAAGCAAAATTTGACATCATACATCACAGGACATTTGCTTCTACAGGAAGTGGTAATAACTAAGTAGTTTAGATTTTGAAGGGTCACATATGAGATCTGCAGCAGAGCAGCTGAGGTATAGGCAGAAAACCCTATACTTAATTCATTCACCTTCAAAGAAAGAGAGAAAAAGTCCTGCCTGAATGTCAGGAAAGCAGCTATTAAATTAGTGCAAATAATACTGGGTTAGATGGACCAATCACCTCATGCCAAAGAATAACAGAATTGGAAGGGACCTTGGAGGTCTTCTAGTCCAACCCCTGCTTAGGCAGGAAACCCCACTCCACTTCAGATAAATGGTTGTCCAATCTCTTTTTAAAAACTTCCAGGATTGGAGCATTCATAACTTCTGGAGGCAAGTTGTTCCACTGATTAATTGTTCTAACTGTCAGGAAATTTCTCCTTAGTTCTAAGTTGCTTCTCTCCTTAATTAGTTTCCACCCATTGCCTCTTAGGTGCTTTGGAGAATAGGTTGACTCCAGAGGTGTATTCAGCAGGTTCTGACCAGTTCTGGAGAACCGGTAGCGGAAATTTTGAGTAGTTCGGAGAACCGGTGGTAACTTTTTCCCTGGAGTAGGTGGGAATAGAGATTTTGCAGTATCCTTCCCCTGCCACGCCCACCAAGCCACACCCACCATGCCATGCCCACAGAATCAGTAGTAAAAATTTTTTGAATCCCATCACTAGTTGACTCCCTTTAGCAACACTTTAGATATTAGAACACTGCTATCATGTCATCACTAGTCTTCCTTTTCATTAAACTAGGCATACCCAATTTCAGCAACCGTTCTTTATGATTTAAGCCTCTAGTCCCCTAATCATCTTCGTTGCTCTTCTCTGCACTCTTTCTCGAGTCTCAGCAACTTTTTTAGATTGTGGTGACCAAGTGTGTTCTTACCAAGGCATTATAAAGTGGTTAGTTAGTTTACTTTATTGTCATTGCACCTCACATATTTGCACAACGAAACATCATTGCACCTCACATCATTGCACAACGAAATCAAACACCATCTTCAGTGCACATCATGACCATGAAAATAAACACAAACGCACATCCTTCACCCTCCACACATTGAACCAAAAAACCCCAACACTGCATTATTCAGCAGAATTCAAAAGAGCTACTGCCCTGGGATAGAAATTGTTTTTCAGCCTGTTTGTCCTTGTTTTTATTATTCTGTACCGTCTACCAGATGGTAATAGTTCAAAAAAAGGGTTCCCAGGATGAGATGGATCTTTGAGAATGTTTTGAACTTTCTTAAGGCAGCAGGAGCTATAAAGCTCTTCCAAAGAGGAGAGAGGGCAACCAATGATCTTCTGGCCAATGACGTTAACCCTTTGGAGTGCTTTCCTATCTGCCACTGTGCAATTGGCAAACCATACAGAGGTGCAGTAATTTTTTGGTATTAACACCTCATGTGATCTTGATTTGATCCCTCTGTTAATACAGCCTAAGACTGTGTTGGGCTTCTTTGGCAGCTGTAGCACACGGCTGGCTTATATTTAAGCAATTGTCCCTTAAACTCCAAGATCCTTCTTAAAATTACTGCTATTGAGACAGGTATTACCTATACTATACATGTGCATTCAGTATTTATTGCCTAAATGTAGAACCTTACTTTTTTCATCAATGAATTTCATTATGTTAGATAGGGCCCAATGTTCATGTCTGTCCAAGAGCCGTGGTGGTGCAGTGGTTAGAATGCAGTACTGCAGGTTAACTCATTGATTACTCCAGGAGTTCAATTCTGAGCGGCTCAAGACTGATTCAGCCTTCCATCCTTCCAAGGTCACTAAAATGAGGACCTGGATTGTTGGGGGCAATATGTTTGTTCTGTAAACTTCTTTGAGGGGGCTGTAAAGCACTATGAAGCAGGATATAAGTGCTATTGCTGTCAAGATCTTTATGTATCTTAAGTCTATCTTCTGAAGTATTTCTGCCAGCTTGGTGTGGCCTGAAAATTTGATGAGTTCCCCATCTATCCCCTTGTCCAAATCATTGATGAACATGTTAAAGAGTACTGGGCCCAAGAATTCTTCAGTTCTTATTTCATGGTGAATGTGTCTGTTTATTTGCTACAATGCCTAAATAGCCCCTACAACATGTTCTCAACATTTCAAATGTTGCACATCAGTCCCAAAAATTATGGATCCCTGCTATTGTAAGGAACTCACTAGAATTGCAACATTAAAAGCATAAAGAAACCCTGGCAGATCCACTGAAGTACAAGTAAGGATTTCTAGAAATATTTCCAATCCTATGGCTGATCTGAATTTTAAAATAATTCTTGGGATTCCAAGGGCCATAGCAAGGACATAAACACAGATTGTGCATACTTACCAAACAGTTCATGATTTCCACTCCACTTGGATTCACAGTTAATGCTTCATCATACAACTGCTTAGCCTCTTCCAAGCTGCCATTCATCTCTGCAAGCCTCCCCCGCATGTACAGCACAGCATGAGATGTGGGAAAGAGACTGGCTGCCTCCTGGATACAAAAGCCTGCTTCTTTGAGATGCTGTTGTTCCATGAAGACTTCAGCTACAGAACCCAAAACAAAGCACAGATATATTCTAAGCTTTATTCTGGAGATCACAAAACATTGAGAATATTAGTAACTTAAAAATAATGGTCACAGGAAAGATAACTTGCTTATGGCGCATGGATTTTCAAAAGGTGCTAGAAATCTATAAAACATGAGAATCATAGGGTTTGAAGGGACCTCAGAGGTGCTCTAGTCCAGCCCCCTACCAGACCTTAAACCGCCTGGTAAAATGGTTATCCAATCTATTTTTTGAAATCTCCAGTGATGGAGCACCCACAACCTCCTGAAGCCAAGCTAGTCTATTAATTGTTCTCATTATCAGAAAATGTCTCCTTATTTCTAGGTTGGATTGTTGGTTGCACAGCCAGATATTAAGAATGGATTTGACATTTTTGTCCACTTCTTGAGTCTTTCCCAAGGATAGGCAGATGCTGTTGTTCGATAATATTAAAGGTATAATGATTATTATGATTATGACAATTTTTTCAGGCCATACAATGAATTTTTCATTTGGTCTACTTAAATTGGGCCTGCAGAATATGTGGCCTGCCACCAGATTTGTGCTGGCCTAGTGATTTTTTTGAAAACTTCTTGAATTTGCTGCCACCAAATGTTGCCACTGCTTAGGAAGATCCAATCTCAGCCTAGGTTTTCACAGCCAACTCTGACATCAAATACATGCTCTCAAGCACTTCCAAGGCTCATTGATATCATTGCTGCTGCACCAACAGTCACTAAACAGTTGGATCACACCAGCTTTGTGACCCACGATTATCTTTAAGGTATTGATTTGACCCTTTTTCCTGTATTTGTGCATGCTTGAATTGAATCAACAAAAACGTAGGTGATGGGTTTTAAAGAAAAGTAGCTTTTAAAAAAATATTTTTCATTTCTCCTTTTTTGTGTGGAATACAGCCCTTTCTTTGGTCTTTCTCTGCCCTTTCAACAAATATATGGGTTCATTTAGAGCTTTCACTTTTGTTATTGCTCTGTGGGGAAGAAGACTGTAATTCTCTTGGTGAATATATAAAGCTATGTAATACCAAGAGCGTTGCCTGCTCTGAAACTAGGTTTCTAATGGGAGGAGGGTTCTTTTCATCAGTTTAACAAAAAGCACCTCACCCTATCAATATTTCTAATAAAAGAAAATATATACAAGATCCAGACATTTTACAGTATCTGTGAGGCCCATCCAAGGAATTGCTATACTCACCAGTCCAAAGTTTCTTGTGCTCTGCCTGGCAATTTTTTGGAAATCCTCCTTTGTTATTGCTGCCATCAGAGAAATGACAGCAATATTTGCATACAAATAAAAACTGACCATTGCTGATCCATAGAGAATCTGTGAAATTATTATTTTATATTGATATTGTTTTTATTTGAGCCCAGGGTACTTCACAAAGATTTTTGGAGGGGGGAGGGGGAGGAGAAGGCAAGTGATATACACCACCCCTTAATACTTGTATATGATGTCATGATGCAAGTGTGGAAAGGTACAGTTTGTGTTTAGATATAACAATACACATTTCATGACTTTGGTTACGAATGAACCCTGTAACAACTATAGGGGTCTACTTAATTTTAACTCTAAAACAACCTTGTCAGCCTTCAAGATTTTCTTCCTTTGCTTTGATTTCGGCTGTCATAAGTAACGGGGGGGGGGAGGGGGGGACATGATTATGGGAAGCGAGCTGGAGGTTTCACAAAACAGAACTGTATAAGTTGGGGGGGGGGAGTTTCTTGCTTAGGCTTCTATCCTATGCTATGCCCAACCGCAACTCTTTATCAAAACATGACAAGGTAAATGGACAGAGGCCTCATCACCACCTGGAGATGCCCACATGATGCTATATACAACTTTTAATTGGATGAGCCATTTGAACTATTGGAGGTGGGAATGTTGCCATCACTTTGTATATTTTACGCGCCCATTTTCTCAGATTCAGAATTCTTTTGTTGCTACCACTTGATTTCCAGTAAAATATATCTTTTCTCTAATTAATGGAATCTAAGTATTTCTTTCTTGGATTTTGAATGGATCACCATCTGACAGGAAGGCTGGGAAAAAGCATTTAACACAAAATTATCAGCAACTTTTGACAACTGAGGCTGACCTTGATTCTGGATATCTCTTTGACCTCAGATCCAAAAGCTTAAAAAAGTTCACTGCAACTATCAGGGAAAGGTGTGCGTGTGTGGGAATTTCAGGAGCTTTACAGCAGAAATGGGTGTCCTGACCATCTGCCAAACTTAAAGCATCCAGTTTGACTCACAACCCCACTCTAAAATTCTTCCCAATTCAATGCATTTTGGTTCCACCTATTCTCGGAAACCACAAAACTGATGGTCACTTACAGCTCTGGGTCCTCATGTTTATACTTTTTTAAACTGTTGCAAAAGTCCAGCTCTGAATTCTCCTTTTGTATTTTTGGGCGGATCTAATTGACACTGATATGCATATCCTTAGACACAGATAGTCAAAATAATGAACTCTGGCAACATCACAAGCATCATTTTTTTCTTCTCTGATTTAAATAGCTCATTACAGTTGTACATCAATACATTGGAGTCTTGATTCCTTCATGTTTGATGCTAATGGTTTCAGAAAATCAGAGACATTCTATCTTGTTTGATGAGAATAAATGCAATGGCTGAAAACTGTCCCATCTGACTCCTATCATCTGTTTGCAGTCAATCCAATTGCCTGAACAGAGGGGAATTATGTAGGACTTCACTATTCAGTTCAATTTGGGGACCAGCTTCATTTAGCCACATTATAAGTATTTTATATATTGATGAAAAATTCTTCTTTCTTTTATGTTGTGCCTTTTAAATTGTGCATTTTTCAGTTTTTAAATTGCCTCTACTCTTTTTGCTGCAAAAAAATAACATAAATACCTCTCTGGAAACTATCGATCTGATGGAAACCATTTTGAGAACCTTTCCGACTGAATAATAAGAAATTATTTAAAACTATCTTTTTTATAGCTTAAATTTAAAAACATTTTGCATCTTAATGTTTCATAAAGAGAACATTAGAAAGAACAGGTTATTTTTTACTTAAAAGTATTAGCACTCCACCCTCAGTCCCTAGATGTATTTACAATATATAAGAGATAGATGGGAGTCTATTTTTACAAAGGAAAAGTATGAGCAACAAGATTGCTCTAATGTTTATGTTTTGCAACAAGTTGTAATATGTGCCTGCGTTTCTCAACTGGAAATACTGGGCAAGAATACTAATGCAATCTGATGACATGGATCCAGTTTTGTTAATGTAAACATTATTATGATCTATGTAAAACAGTTACTAAGCCCTCATTAAAATCTTTAGATGACTATATTTTGTTTTTACTGAACTAGTTCATGAAATATTTCAACAGGCAAATTAGTAATTCTTCCTAATGCTATTGGAAAAAATATTTTTAAAATAAATAATTACAATTATTCAGTTCTCTGGTATCAGACACCATTAGAATATCAAGGGAAGAGCTGACAACATTTAATATTGTCACATAACAAAAGAAAGAACAGGGGGGGGGGGAAACCCAATCCTTAAAGCAGAGTTTCTCAAACTTCTCCCCCTGGAGAAATCCTTGAAATAATGTTCAGGCCTCAGGGAACTCCTGTATTAAAAATTGCAAAAAATACAAAAACTTGTCAGTACAATTCACTTCTAACCTACTCACAACCCATGTTTTACAATGGTTATAATAATAACAAAGCAGCAGGCTGCAGCTGAGTCACAGCATGCAATAATTCCTACCACTGTGAATGCTAGTATTATGTAGCATGCATAGTTAAAAAAAAATGTCAGTCATAATCTTGCATGGAACCCCTAGTGTCTTGAAAAAAAAAAACTACTTGTGAAAGGTAGCTGTAAAGTAACACCTTCATTTGTAAGAAGGATGAGGGGTGTTATTTAGCTATGGAATGATAGCTGAGACTAAGTAGCTGATGGTAGCGGAGCTGAGGACCCTGGCCATACTTCCAGCTTGTGGGCCGGATATGTCATGTGCTGGCCACACCCACGCCCAGTTTAGCAAAGATGGAAAAAAAAGTCCCAATACGTCACATGATGTCACCATGACAATGTGAACTTGACACCCCTGTCTTAGAAAGATGAGTGGCAGGAGAGTTGACCTGAGTGTGTCAGTCCCACCATTTAGCTTGTCTCCAGCCCCCTCCTCCTGGGCTTGGCTAGTCTAGTAAAGAGGAGGTCCAGGGGAGACATGATAGCGGTCTTCCAATATTTGAGGGGCAGCCACAGGGAGGAAGGGGTCAAGCTATTTTCTAAAGCACCTATAGGCCAGACGAGGAATAATGGATGGAAACTGAACAAGGAGAGATTTAACCTGGAAATAAGGAGAAACTTTCTGACAGTGAGAACAATCAACCAATGGAACAGCTTGCCCTCGGAAGTTGTGGAAGCACCATCACTTGAGACTTTTAAGAAGAGATTGGACTGTCATTTGTTGGAAATGGTAGGGTCTCCCGCTTGGGCGGGAGGTTGGACTAGATGACCTACAAGGTCCCTTCCAACTCTGATTATCTGTTAAATGATATACAGGTAATCCTTGACTTAGACTTAGAATCCTCAATCAGGAAACAGTAATGAAGTAATTTAGATATCTCAGGAAAGGTGCATTTTTGTATATCATTTCTTCCAAAAACTGCCTAGTTTTTAGAGCTATACTTTATATTTTCAGTATTAGAGACTGAAAAATACAAATTAAAAATTAGTAAAATGATGTCCATGCATTTTAAAAATACGTTAATGCTGAGCAGTGTGCAGCTAAGGGAGATCATACAACAGGTATGAGGAGTCAAGGCCTGAAGATGTATCTCTTAATATTGTTTCCAGATGCATGAGTTCTGGAATGCAGTTACATTATCTTTTGACATAATGCTTTTTTTATTATTGCAGTGCAAGGCAATTCAATTTAATCTCAAAGATCTTCAAAAGTAAAGATCCTGAGCTTTTTCTAATGAACAT